AGTGGGTTATATATGGATGATTTTGTGTACTCGGTCGATAGCGTGGAGGAGGCCATCCTAACCACCGCCAAGGTTATAAAGCTCATGAAATCGGGTCAATTCGATCTTGTCAAGTGGACTAGTAATTCGCGTACGGTTTTAGTACAATCCCACTATCACACCGCCGTTCGGCAATAAAGGAATTCGACGATTCTGATACACACAAGGTGCTTGGTTTGTGTTGGTCACCGGAGTCCGACGTGTTTAATCTTAAGGCGCCTCTACACGTTGGCCAACACAGTGGCGAATGTAGTGGCCAATAACATTGGCCAACGTGTAGACGGGGTGTTTGGGCTTCATTGGTACGTATTGGAACGATGGCCCGCAAGTTCGCGCGAGATCCGTGTGGTGTCGGTTTTTTACAAAAGATCAAAGGATTGTTGGCAGAGTTTGGTCGCCGCGTCCACACGTTGGCCGCGCGTTTAGTTTGCTACAAGCTCCCAGAGTGATTACACGCATCTGATTTAAATTTTATATTCAAGCTTTGTAGGGTGAATGACCCAATGACCAGCCTTTTAGTGCCAATTTCAACTTTAAACATTCCTACTACTTTAATTAGCGCGATTTAATTATTATTGAACATTTGTTTTAATCAATAAGCTATTTATCAAAAAAAAAAAATTAACGTTTTTTTACAATCATATTATTACGAGAACAATTTTAAAATGAATAAAAAGATGAAGCACGTCGTTTATACGTGGTAGAACCATGCAGTTATATTAGAAGTATAATTGTAGCACGAATGAGTTGGCACAACCGGGGAAGGACCACGATCTCACAGAATATCAGCGTAAAATAGTAGCTTAATGATGCTGTGTTTCGTATAGTGAGTGTAGAGAACCAGAGACCCTTTTTAAAGGAAACGAGGCATTTCATCTTAGTCCTCACGGATGAAAACCCATCTGCATTTTGATTTGTAATCGAGGATGGATGTAGATGTCTATGGGCAATAGTAACCATTTACCATCAGGTGAATTGTGTGCTCGTTTGTCACCCTATCCTATAAAAAAAACGTCAATTTCTTATAATTTAATCGTGCAAGTTTTCGAATCATCATCATCATTACATCTGTTCACAAGTCCACCAGTGAACATCCTCCTCCACAGACAGAGATCCTGAGCCACTTTCCTTGTCACGAGTTTTTCATTTAAGTTCTAAGTTATAATTAGTACCTATTATTAAGTCAGTGTTAATTATATTTATTGCTATTGTTTTTGTCTTTCTCAAAAAATAATTAAATTACCAAATAAATTATAAAGTGTTTTTATATACATCAAATGTCTGATAGAAAAGCAAGTACATGTTTTGCTAAACTTTAAAATCAAAACCCAATTTTAAAACATAAACTAATCGATTATAACTCCTTTAACTTTAAAATAAGTTAAGTTCTTATTAATGGTATTTATTCCAGTTTATGATGCATGTAAAGAATAAATAAAGCTAATCGTATATCGTACATCTATTTACAGCCCCATTAATATTCACTATTATTTTATAATTATTTTTAAAAACATTACTCCCCCCCCACACTTGGATTTTCTCCTGTATCGCGGAGGCAGCTTACATTGCACAAGGACACGCATTCAGACCCGAAACAATTATATGTAGGATATACAAATACTTGTTCCGTGCGGGATTCAAACCCGCCAGCCCCGGCACAGCCACTCATTACTGAGCCACTGCGCCACGGTGCCATCGTCATAAATTCGTCCGCACATTGGCCCGAACCGAAGTAAACTGAACGACCTTCCAACGTGTGGACGCCATCACCAACTCTCGGCCAATATATTCGCCACTACATTCTCCACTGTGTTGGCCAACGTGTAGAGGCGACATTAAGGTAAACCCGCCCGTAGAAACGTGCACAAAGTGCACAATGCTGTCATGTGTTGCCAGATTATGGGATGTCATGGGTTTCGTAGCCCCCGGTGGTGCTATACGCTAAGCTTTTGATTAAACAACTTTGGTTATGTGAATGCGATTGGGATGACCCGCCGCCTGATAGCATTGTTCGGGTGTGGCAGTGTTTTAGAGAGGAACTTCCTTTACTAAGCGAAATTAAAATACCACGTCATATAAACGTCGATAGAGATAGCGTCATCACTGTCGTTGGGTTTGCAGACGCTAGCGAGAAGGCTTACGGGGGCGTTGTATATTTTCACGTCCAGAATAATGGTAGAAGTTCGATCAGCCTCATTAGCTCTAAGTCAAGAGTCTCCCCACGTAAGGTGGTCTCTCTAGCGCGCTTAGAGCTTTGCGCGATGTTAGTCCTTGCCAAGCTTATCACCGCGGTTATCAGTGCATGTAGTGACAGAGTTCACATAGAAAGAATATTTGCATTTTCTGACTCAACCGTCGCTTTATGTTGGGTTCATTCTTCACCCCACCGTTGGGATACGTTTGTCGCGAACCGAGTGGTCAAGATGCAAGACGAAATCCCGCCGATTGTCTATCCCGTGAACTCACCCAGATGCAAATAAAGGACCATCCGCTTTGGTTCCAAGGACCTTCTTGGGTTCACTTGGAACCCTCGCAGTGGCTAATAACCGATTTCGACCCTTCGTCAATGTCCCAACCACCGGAAGAGAAGAGGCACGCTCTGGTGGCGAACGTTTCGAGCGAGGTTTTTCCAATCATTGCTTTGGCGAACCGTTTGTCCTCTTGGTCGAAATTATTGCATAGCGTGATTTAAGTTTGTCGATTCGCGAAGCTTTTACCGTGACGTTCGTATATCGTAGCGTCCGATTACAGCTATGCCGAGTTGCTAGTATTGCGCGAACTTCAACGTGCACATTTTTCCGATGAAATTACAAAATTACAATCGAATAGAACTTGTAGTCGCGCTTTTCAACGTCTTAAGCCATTTTTACAAGATGGCATCGTCAGGGTAGGTGGGCGCTTGTCTAACTCGCAGCTGAGTTTCAACCAACGGCACCCTATAGTTTTACCGCGTAAAGACCATATCATGAATTTATTAGTTGATTACCACCATAAATTAAATTCTCACGCTGGCCCCGACTTGCTGATGTCGATCTTGCGCCAGAATTATTGGATTCTTTCAGCACGTAATTTAATCCGCAATAGGGTGCACAGATGTATGGCTTGCTTTCGAGTACGCCCTAAGCCGTCATTTCCGGAAATGGCGGACCTTAGGTCTTGTCGAGTAACACAATCCGTTTGTGTCCTTTGCCCATTCAATATTTGGATTAGTTTTCTAGATTAGAAATTGTAGTCGAAATTTAGGTTTATACTTAGCGTTAGTTATTTTGTTAGTTTAATCCTAGCATTAGTTGTTTTAGTTATTTTGAAGGACCCTTCAAGCCGGGGGGGATGGTTGTGCGGAAAACGACTCGTATTTTAATTTTATTCGAGGGTATGCTTGCCAAGCGTTTGTCCTTTCCTTGACCTATCCTCCCTCCGTACACACCGGGGTGGTGGGGTGAGAGGGGATAGAAGAGATTCTAGAATGTTGCGTGATTCTTGCAACCAATGAGAAGAGCGCCCGACTTCGGTGGGAAACGCTGATATAAGCTCGCGCGCTGCGCTCGAGCGCTCTCTTGCCTTTGCGCCGCTAGTTGGAACCGCACCGCCTGGGCCAGTCGCGTCCTAGAGGGCTCTTGCCCACGCGCCACTCGTTCAAACCGCACCAACCTGGAGCAGTCGCGCTCCAGGAGTAACCGCCTCACCTAGTGTGAGATATCGTCGCGCACCGCTCTCTTCCTTCGCACAACTGGACTGGATAGCATCTCTGGGGCCCCGGAGAAACCCACCCAACGCCGCATCACCGAAACGAAAGCGTCATCACCCGCAACGGAGTCGCACCCCGGTAAGTGGTTTTATTTCCTTTTAAATTAGATTCCTACTTGAGCCCCTTTGTTTGTTAGTTAACCCGCCCCTATTTCATTTCTCCTAACGAGCTCAAGTAGGATTCCTTCATAACCTTGGCAAGCAATAGATTTCGGAAGAGCGAATGCATTGTCAAGGAACCGCGTGCCACATCCGCCATCTTGTTGAAGCATGAGAAGCTTCCAGCGTATACAGTCCATCTAGTGTAACATCTCGCGTAATAGGGTCCGGGCTCGACCGGGGAATCGGAACTCGGCAACCCTAAGGCCCGCCGCCCAACCACATTCAAACTGGTCTGATACTTTTGGCGTGATTGAGGAATAAACAAACATTCAAACTTTTGCATTTATTATAGTTTAATTAGTGTGAGTATTATGACTGAGTCTAATTTATTGTCTAAAAATCAAACAAAAATTCTTTAATTAGTATTTCTTGTTTAGCCATTCCCGGGAAATAATTGTAACATTAATAATAGATAGTTACATAATAAAAACAAAAAAAAAACGACTGCTTAATTGTAATGAACTGAAAACATAGGTATAACTTATATATACTTCAGTAATCTCCTTTTAATTTCCTTTATTTGGATACCCCTATCGATAGTTTGAGTTAAAAAAATTAAGGAATTATGATTTGGCGACAAAAAACCGTCATATTGATTTAAAAAAAACTGTCTAAGAACACACGGGTGTTTGAGACGAATCACACGAAAGAATCTTTTCTAAATAAGCGCCACATTATCGATATTAAGTATAGTGCGCAGCACTACGTCAAGCCGCCATCTTTGTGCCAGACTCAGTTTAGGTATACACTTGTTTTTCCTAGGTATGTCATGTCCTATCTTTTTTCTCTAGTCAAAGTACTGAATAGCATTTATGGTAGGTAAATGGTTCATTGATGTAATATTTATCTGTCATTGCTTTACACATAATATTTGTCTACATCCTTTCAATATTTCATTATAATAAAAAAAGAAAAAGCTAAAGGATTTTCTTATTTAAAATTTTTGATGATTTTCGTAAATAAAAATAATGGTTACTTTATTTTTAATTACGAATATAATTATTGTGATTTTGTTACTTTAAAAGCATCTCATAGTAACATTTAGTACTCACCGAAACCACTGCAACGGTAACCGTATCTGAAAACTTGACTTTATTCTTCTCCACCGGTTTACCTCCAGTCCAAGTGCTATCATTACGGTAAATTCTTCCATTGGTATTTGTGTTTATGCTATTGTGATAACGGTAGGCGGAGTTAGGTTCATTACCTCTAACATTTGTTTGATAAACATGCTTGAAATGTGTTGTATTCACTTTATCTCCATGTAGACGAGGAATTACATCAAATACAGATCTAGTTTTACAGTCACTAACTGATGGGTTTAATGATTGTCTATAGTTCTGTAACACATTGTCAACACTTTGCCACTTAACAGTTTGAATATTTTTGATTGGCTTGAATTGTTCTGTTTCGTACTGTTTTCTATTGATATAAGTATCATCTCTGAGATCAGTATTCCATATTGTATTGTCCCTTTCGAGGTATTGGTGTAAATTGGGCCTGATACTTAATGTGGATGTGGGTTCGTTTTGAGTTATTGGTACTGGTAAAATGGTTGGTTGGGAGGGGTGGGGTACACGAGGAAGTGGAGGCGGAGTGGTCTTCCCCTTCGTGGAATAGCTGGTCAGTTCTTCTTCGGATTCCGAGCAGGAATGTGAACTACACTGTGAGCACGACTCTGAACATTCCGATTCTGAAAATATATAGCCACATATAAATTTTAATTAAATGGATATGAAAAACAGATGAGAACCTAGATGAATTAAGACAAAAGATAAAAATTTCAAAGTGTGGGAAAAATAAGAACGTGGTGGGTAACAAATTAATTTACTTCCTAAACAGCCTGTAGAAGTCCACCACTGGACATTTTTTTCTAAATAAGACGGAGCAAACGAGTACACTCTTTTCTTAAAAGTAGGGACTTATTTAGGGCCGATTGTCGTAGCGCTGGGTGAGTATCTCCCAACACGAGTCATAGTAGAATGGAATAGTTTACCACCGGCAATTTTTCCGGACCGATACGACCTGGGGACCTTCAAGAAAAGAGCTTACTCCTTTCTAAAAGGCCGGCAACGCACCTGCAATTCCCCTGGTGTTGCGGTTGATCATGGGCGGTGGTAGTCACTTAACATCAGGTGAGCCGCATTCTCGCTTGCCCCCTCTTCTATATTAAAAATAAAGTGTTTAGCGCCGATGCTGAGATGTTGTACTAGGCGCTCAGCTTCTTCTCTCAACTTTGTCTTTAGATGTTGCATCTTTTGTGCCTTGTTGATGGTAGGATTCTTAATCTAAGTCATATACGGTCCGGAACAATTGGTGGTAGTAGCCGATTCAACAAAAAAGTTTTGCGAGGAAGTAAACTTTTGGTAAATAGCACAGTGGTGGACATCCAGATGGATGGTGTCATGGACTTAGTCGCTATGTAAATTCAAAAAATTGTATATAAATTTGACGGCTGCAATTAGTTCGAATAATTCCTTTAAGGTGAAAGTGCTATGGAAGAGTGGAGCCTCCTATCACAAGTTATTATACTTAAAAGGAGACTCTATTTTTTGATTCATTGTATGAATGATCACGATCATTTACTGAATGAACAATTTTTATTCATTTATTTTCCTACTAGCGACCTGCTGCAGCTTCGGCTGGGTAGGATTTAGTTTTGAGATAAAATATCCTAGATCACGTCAAGTTTCATTACCATCGGTTGAGTCATTCCGAAGATAAGTCGTGTTTTACGTGAATATGTACGTAACGTACGTACGTAACCAAACGAACTCAAAATGGCGGCGCTACCCCTTCAGCGCGCACGATGCGTCACAGTTCTCACTCAACGCAACGAATTTTTTGATTCGTTACCTATCGAGTGGCGTAATTAAATTTTGGATGTAAATGATTGATATGTAGCTGTAACACTAAACTGTATACCTAGATTTTATTGTCATCAATTTCTAAATGATCTACCACTTTGGAAGCGATTTGAAAGATGTATTCACGTCAAAATATAAAAATTTATTATTCATGTCGCAATGATATGTAAATAGAAGGCATGAAATAAAAATGGTTAGCGCTCGCTGTAAATTTCACAGTATGCGAGCAAACCGGGTTCGATTTCCGCTGACACCAATGAAATTCTTAATTGCAATTTTAAGTGCTGATTTACTACGTACTCGGCGGTGAAGAAAAACATCGTGAATAAACATGCATTTTGGAGAAATAAGAAAAAAAATATTTCGAAGACATTTGAAGTTCGTCAAGACGCATTGGAACAGTGCGGCCGACAATTCCTTGCCCATTCCTTGACATGCCCATGAGCGGAGGTCTGTGCCCAGGATTGGGAGGTATATAGGCTGTAACTCTAACTTAACTTTTAAAAATAAAAATAAAAATAGTGTGTAGGATGCGTAGGTACCGTGTAGGTGTGCGTAGTGCAGCGCAGTGCGTGCAGCCTCGCGCGACAGCTGCGCCAGCCCGCGGCGCTGCGCCGCCCAGCGCGCGTCCGCGAACAGGTCCCAGGCCGCCAGGTCCACGCCCAAGCTCATGGCCTTCTCGATGCGCCCACGCCTGCCCAACACGTCCGTTTGAGACTATTTTTTTTATAGAACAGTACCTGGATGACCGACCTTTGCCCGATTTTTTTGAAATTACATTTAGATACAAATTACATACTGATGAAATATGAATAATATTTGATCTTTTGATATAATAGAAAAAACTGAACTAGTTATTAGAATAAAAATCATGAGTGCAATTAGTTTAATTAAAATTTTCGTATTTTTAAAAAATACTAAAAAAAAGGGCTCGAAATAATAGATTTTCTCACAAAAGAAGAGAACTTGAAAAAAAAGGAAAAAAGTCGGACCGAAGACAGGACGCGAACCAAGGCATTAGGATTTCTCGACCGCTCGATATCCACTTGAGCTATTTCGATCATTAACACAGTGTCAAAATTTACCTTCTTATACTGTAACAGTTTTTCATTGCCTAAAAACACGGACAAAAAGACATTTTCTAAAAATAAATTGTAGCTAGATCGATTTATTGCCCCTAAAACTCCCTGGACACTAAATTTTAATAATTGAAAATCGTTGGAGCAGTTTCCCAGATTCCGATTATATATATATATATATATATATATATATATATATATATATATATATATATATATATATATATATATACATACACACACACACACACAACAAGAATTGCTCGTTTAAAGGTATAGGATGTGTGACAAACAAGCACACAGTCCACCTGATGGTAAGTGGATGCTGTGGCCCAGACCGAGATAATAGGGAACACTTTAACTTGTAACTAGCTGTTTTTCGCGGTATCATCTGTGTATATGGCGTTCAATGAGAATTTAGTTGAAAAGAAATTAAGATACTGGATTTCATAATTTCAACAAAAGGCATAAAGACAGATCCCGATAAGATTCAGGCAATTCAAGAGTTTTTAGCATCCAAAAAAGATTAAGCAATTGAGGGCCTTTTTAGGTCTGCAATTTTTACAGAAAGTTCATTCCAAATTATAGCGCGAGCATAATATTACTCTGTGAATTAATAAAAAAAGGGGCGTAAGTTTATGACATGACACCTCGCTTATAGAGGCGTTCACTGCTGGGTTTTTTCGGTTCTCATCAGGTGGCTGGTCGTCGTTCGCGCGTCGAACGGAGTGTTGAATTATTTTAATTTTTGATTATCTCATAAAAAATGCGTCTAAATAACATGTTATAAAGAGCAAAGTTTATCTTCACAAAATTGTCTTGAGTCCGACGGCATCACCGGACATCAAAGGCGTTACACTACAGTAAGGTCTTAAAACTGTGCTTGTACACTTGAAAAACATTATACCCTTCTGGGTCAGTCGGGTGAAGAACATACATAAACACTCACGCCTGTCACCCAGAGGGGTAGACAGAGACTACAGACTTCCATTTAGCACGATCCTGACATACCTCTCTCGCCTCTTCCACATCCATATACCTACGCATACATGCTCGTCGGTTAAGGGTACTCTTAATTTGGCCCATTTTTAGGGTACGTTCCAAAATAGAACCCAGTGTACTGTCCAATGCAAATGACGTTATGAATCGACGCTATACTGTTGATTCGTTCCAAAACATAGGACAGCATATGACGTCATACATTTACGCCATATTGAAAAAGTATTGGCGATTATTTTGTCATTTTGTGCTCCAAAAATCATTATATTTTCCTAATGGAGATACCAGCAATTATTCTATAATTTTTTGTATTTGAATAAATAAAAACAAATTCTGGCATGCTTCATTCAGCGCACACACAATTAAAAATTGTTTTACTGTGGCCGGATATCCGACGCAATATGGCGGCGGCACGCCAGTACAATATAGTGTCAATTGATGACGTCATTTGCATTTGCCAGTGTACTGGGTTGTATTTCGGAACATACCCTTAATATATCGCCAATTTGGTCGACAAACTCGCCTTCCCTTTCCAAACGTCCCTTTCCGACTCCTCCATTCACTTCTGCAACATATATTTGCTTTGTCAGTCTTTCCTCATTCATTCTTTCTACATGACCAAACCACCGAAGAATTCCTTTCTTAATCTTGGTCACCGCATCATCTTGCAAAAAACCACACTCTTCTTTATCACACATTTTCTCACCCTGTCACTCAGATTCAGCCCTAACATACGCCTTAGCGACCGCATTTCTACTGCATTTATTCTACTCTCGTGCTTCTTCTGCCATACCCAACTTTCACTACCATACGTTAAAGTAGGGACTAATACAGCATTGTGAATATGCTGAATGAAAATGCGGAATATGCCATACGTGCCTTTTTTGACACCTCCTGACTTTTCACAATAGAGTGTAGAGCTCCATTTACTTTATTTCCTGCATTCACTCGCCGTTCAATATCCTTGTCATATCTCCCATCCCTGCTGAATACACATCCCAAATATAAAAATTCATCTACTTGCTCGACCACTTCTATTCTTATTTCACATACCGCTTTACTGTCTTCTCTTTCAAAAACCATAACTTTCGTCTTACTTGCATTCACCTTTCTTTTAATGACCTGTTCATTAATGTAACAATCATTTGCAACTCGGCCGCCGACGACGCAAGTATGACTTGATCATCGGCGTACAAAAGGCATTTGATGGTTAAGAACATATACGTGAAGTCTATTCGCTGTATAGAGGGCAGTGCCGGCATAAGAAAACCCACTACTCCATATCATACTGTGCGTGTCATAGGAAGTGAAATAAGAAAACTGAAACGTAAAGAAGAAAAAAGGTAAATTCTTCCTTAATTTTAAAAGAAGCACTAAATTTAAAAGAAGCAATCTACAGGGTCGCCTTGGTTCAGCAGTGGAATTTGATAGACAGTTATGAATGGAATAAAAAAACAGTCCATTCGAAATGTAAACATACATAAATTACATAAATATAACAAAAATGACTATTAGTAAAATGTTATTAATTTCGAATCAAGGCACCAGGTAATAATTAGTGTCAACAGTAAGTATTAATATTTTCAAAAAAAAAAATATGTCTTTTGAAAAAGATCTTATTAGATTACAGGTATGAATTTCCGGAGGAAAGTAGCTTGAACAGTAAAAGAGTTTACCATAAAACCAGTGAATTCAAGTTTGTGATTATTTTCTTTGACATATTTTTTTTACTCTTTTTTTTACTTAAAAAAAGAATATTAACAATGCTATAAGCATTACTAATATTCCCCCTTAACCACTCGTGGTAAGCTTAAATTGCTTGTGTTACGAGAGGTTCACGCCAGTAGTCGAATGGCGGATTCGAACCCACGACGTTTTTGAGTTTGCGGTCCGCGCCCTACCATTAAGCTACTGTCGCATATTAAAGACAATGTTTATGTAGCAGTTTTGCCGATAATATTGACAGAATTTCAAGATCGTTTATAACATTTGTATTGACGTGTATGAAAATAGAAGATGTGCTTTTTCTTATAATGCTGAATACATTCATCCAAAACCCAATGAAAAATTATAGCCCATGTAGAACAAATTTTACCAGACTGACTCTTTCCTTACCGAATGGCTGCACTTAACATAACTAGGAAACCGATCTATGTTAATTTAGATACCTGAGTAAATGATGGAAGAACTTCCTAGCCAGGTCGTGTACAGGTGGTGCAAAGCGGAGTGCGGAGGGACCCAGTGGTGCAGAGGGCGCTAAGAATGCTCCCAAAGCTGCTTGCGCTGTTGCCTCGGCTTCAATATTTCCCACACCGCGGTTTTCACTTCCAGAACTACACACTTCTTGAGGCTTCCGTAGGGAACCATGCACTAGATCACTCATGGCCCGAAGGCATTCTATCCCCTCTTCTTCCCAGTCCATAGCACGGAGCAGGGCAACAGCATTCGATGTACGATCTGCTCTTATCCATGCCTGGAAAATATCTATCATGAAATAATATACAATATGCTATTTTATATAGTGTAGTGTCGGAATTAGGTTCATTCGTAATTACCGTAAGAAGACGTGGATGCGTTATGTGCAGAAGAGTCAAAGGCCCTCCCGAGAAAAGTGCCAGGATAAACGGTCCACCTTTCATATCTCGAGTCGCAAGTATTTGCATCCGTCTTGCATCTCTAAAAAGTAATTGAAATTATCAATTAAGGTTTCTTTGTATAGGCTAGACTCATTATAGGGCAGTGCTAGACTATAATCTCATCTGGTATTACGTGGTGTAAATCGCACTGTCCTAGCGTTACAAAAGCTTATTCAATTCACTCTTGCCTCGAAGACGCCCTGATTGTAAAAGGACAGAAATACATACGCCGGCAAATTATTCCACTCTTTCATTGCACGTATTACGAAAGACGAAGTCAACCATTTAGTTGGAATTTCGATGTCAAACTGGTAAATATGACAATCGCTTGGATGTTTGATTTTGGAAAGTGGAGGGCGAATTAAGGCATGTAATTCCATTCTTCCCTTTCCAATTCTTAAAGTAGTCTAAAATGAAGTATATGATATTAGTATTACCGAAAATGTGAAACTAAATCAAGGCATTTAGTGTGGTGGTGTAGAAGTGAGAGGGCACGATCAAAGCACTGTAGCCGTCCTGCTTCCTCCACAGCAACAACAAGTTCTCCAGCCCACCGGACATCGGTTGGTATCTGTGTAAGAGAGTAATAACTTTAAAAAATTAAATAATGTGGTGTGTTATGAATTCAGCCATGAAATAACCTTACTATCATAGATTGAAAAACTATGAAATTTTAATCCATATTTGCTTTTAAGAATTTATTAATTGACAACATATATTAACATTAAGTATTAATTTATTTTTATAGTAATTTTAAAATAAATAAATAAAAATAAAAATCTGAGCTAATACATGTCTTGCTTCCTTGTTTACTTATGGAGATACCATTCCACTTTTTTTTTCAGTATGTCGAAAATGTTGGAAATTATCACCTCCCACATACGGTGGAACTATCTTGTTTAAGTAATATGCATAATTCTTAGACTGATGCCAGAGAAGAACATGAAAAGCGTTGAACATCAGGTAGTTTGATTACCAAACCATCTGCCATGCCAATGCCAAGGATGGCAATTAACAAATTTTCCCTATTATTTTTTTTTTTCTTATTTATTTATTTCCCACTATACAATTATCTTTACAGGTTTATCATATTATCACGTAATGCGATGTAGACAAATATTTTAACAAACTCCAACTACACAGTTACAAGCTAATAATTTTCGATTATAAATGTGTACTTATTGCTATTACAAACACCGTATCTATGTCACAGTAGGACCATAGCTAATTTCAAATAGAGCTCTTACTATGAACCCACCCAGAGTACAACAAAATAGATCTATGTGTTCTGATATATGGTTGAGGATACGGAGGGCGCACGTAAACGGCGATTCAGTCACCAGCTTAGTGCTGCCGTCACACGTATCTGCCCGGAACACATATGCGCACTTGTTGCAATACGTCTGGATTGTGAATCTTTCCCCTCATCACCTTTTTTTTATAGGATAGGGTGACAAACGAGCACACAGTCCACCTAACGGCAAGTGGTTGCTGTGGCCCATAGACATCTACATCTATCCTCGATTACGAATCAAAATGCAGATGCGTTGTCACCCGTGAGGACTAAAATGGAATGCCTCGTTTCCAGTAAAAAGTGTCTCCGGTTCTCTACACTTACCATACGAAATACAGCAGCATTAAGCTACTATTTCACGCTGGTATTCTGTGAGAGCGTGGTCCTTCCCCGGTCGAGCCGACCCATTCGTGCTACAACTATACGTCTAATATAACTGCAGCATGGCTCTTCCACGTATAAAAACCTTAAAGGTAAAACGTTAAACGGTAAAAACGGTAAAACGTTAAAGGTAATTTTCACTCTGTGCTGTAGCTCGTCTTGAAACGCTGACGCATGACTTTGAGCCCCTCCCGCCTCTTGTTGATTTTTTATTACTAGAGTTATGCATTGCAAACTATGTTTATATTCTCTCAGCCGTCTATATCCCACCTAATCAAAATTTTGATACATATAATAGTTTTTTTAATTTATTACAAAACCAATTATCTGGATCGACTGCAAGTTTTATTATAATTGGTGCTTTTAATCTGCCGAATCTTCGCTGGAATAATACCGGCCAGGCCCTTGTACCTATAATAGATTTGAATTTGAATCCCTCGTGCTGGTGCCTAATTAATTTTATATCACTAATAAACGGTCATCAGGTGAACTATATTCTTAATAAAAATAACAGAATCCTAGACTTAGCTATAACAAATACAACTAAGTGCAGCCTATCATCGGTGACCTCACCGTTGGTACCTCCCGATGCTCTTCACCCCCCTTTAGAAGTTTTCATTACATTATCAGAATCACAAAAATACCTAGAACGTAATATAACATTTCGACAATGCTATAGATTGGTTAACTATGATAAAATAAAAGATGAAATTATAAAAATCGATTGGGAAAATCTTTTTTTAGATAAAGATGCCGAAGATGCTGTTGCGTGCTTTTATGAGACAATTTGCAAAATTATTAAAAAACATGTGCCAATCAAAGAAGTCAAACCTAATCGTTTCCTTGTTGGTTTAGGCCTGAATTAATTCTGATATACAATAAAAAAAACCGGGCTTGGACAAAAATGAAAAAATATCGAAGTGAATCGAATTACAATATCTTTTCCATATACAGAAATAAATTCAAAAAAGTTTCTGAGCGTTGCTATAATAACTATATTAGTAAAGTAGAGAGTAGTATTAGGGATAACAGTAAATTCTTTTGGACCTATTTGAAAAATTGTAAAAAGATCTCTGACATACCGAGTACTGTTAATTTTAAAGATAGGGTGGCTACAGGTCCTAACGAAGTTTGTTCAATATTCTCTAGGTTTTTTCATTCGGTTTTTGAGCCAACTATGGTCACTGATGATCCAAGATATCATTGTTGACGATACTAAAACACCTGATATTCTTATAAACGACATCAAACTCACAAAACTTGAAGTCACTAACCAATTAAAGATGTTAGATGTAACGAAGGTGCCGGGGTGGACAATGTCCATGCTCTGTTTCTAAAATCAACTGCTGAGGTTATTGATGAACCGGTATGCCTCCTGTATAATAAATGTTTGCATTGTGGAATTTTTCCCAAAGTCTGGAAAACTGCTAGAATAGCGCCCGTACACAAAGGAGGGTCTAAGAAAGAAGTTGAAAATTATAGACCCATCTCCATACTACCTGCGTTAGCGAAGATTTTTGAACGATTAGTACATAACGCCGTTTATCCGCTTTTACGTAACGTTATATTGCCACAGCAGCATGGCTTTGTTAAGAATCGATCTACTGTGACTAATTTAATTATTTACTCGACCTTCCTATTTGAAGCTCTCGATGCACGTAAGCAAGTTGACTGTGTGTACACAGATTTTCGCAAGGCATTTGACCGGGTCGACTATAAAATGCTACTAGAAAAAATTGCCTATAATGGAATAAGAGGTAATCTATGGCGGTGGATTAAGTCTTACATTTCAAACAGAATGCAAAAAGTGGTTATTAGGAGTGTCATGAATCGGAATGTGTACCGTATTACCTCGGGCGTGCCACAAGGATCTATTATTGGTCCTTTTCTATTTATAATATTTATAAATGACATTAATACGTGCTTCCGTTCAAGTAGGTTCCTTTTATATGCTGATGACTTAAAGGTATATAAAATTATCAACAACACTAATGACCATTTAGAATTCCAGGATGATTTAAACCGTTTCACATCGTACTGTAATAGAAATAAGTTAGAACTCAGTCTTAACAAATGTAAATCTATAACTTTTACAAAAAAGAAAAAAACCAGCTCTTGCATCTATTATTTATGTGGTACCCCCTTATCTCAAGAAGTAGCAATCAGGGATCTTGGAGTAACTTTAGACACTAAACTACATCTAAGTATACACATTGAAAATATTATTAACAAAGCTTATAAGATGTATGGTTTGGTCATCCGATCTGGTATTATGTTTAAAAATCCATTGACTTACTTACATCTTTATAAATCCTTAATAAGATGTCATTTAGAGTATGCAGTGAATATTTGGAATCCTCTATATAAAAAATATATTGATAAACTAGAAATTGTGCAGAAGAAATTTCTTAAATATATCCATTATAAATATGCGAGAAAAAAAATACCGTACAATCAACTCATGGCAAAATATAATCTTACCACTCTTAAATCAAGGCGTACAATTCTCGAGGCAATGTTATTTTATGATCTGTGTCACAATAGATACGACTGTATGGATATAACTGAGAATATAAATTATAGAGTACCTACCAGAGCACATCAGCGCGTGGCCCATTCTCATAAACTTTTTTGTATTAATTTATGCCGAACTAATGCGGGACGAAGGTCCTCTTTATCACGTATGATGCACTCGTACAATGAGAATTTTAATGATATCGATATTAATGCCATTAGACGAGGTAATTATAAGAAGATTGTCACTGAGAAATTTAAACAAGTACTCATTGAGTGTCATCAGATGGAATATATGACACGACCATTTAAAAAAAGCTAATGAGCAGTGGTGTCATATATCCTACCATAACCCTACAATATTTGTCAGTCGATATTGTGTTTAGATTTTAATTCTAGATTAAGAATAACAAGATATTGTCAATGTCAAGTAGTACTATGTAACAAGCTTTATTTATTGTGGAAAAATGTTATACTTAAGTAAGTGACCAGAGTTGTTGAGTTCACAATAGTAAAATATGTGTAGTAATTATATTAGATAAGTTAATAATTGTGAACTTGTTTGTGGTCCTAAGTTTAATAAATAAAAAAAAGGTATATGAAACAAGAGCGAAATTCATTCTTATATTTAGCTCATTGTATCCTACCATACCTATGGTGAATAAAATACGATACTTATTTGGGTAAAATGGGTAATACTCCATACATTTTTTATATAAATATCTAATAAATATATTCTGCACTCTCTCCAACATGATACTATACTTAGTTTCATGTGGAGACCAGATGACCGCGTTGAATTCTAATTGGCTCCTCACTAAAGAATTATACAATGCAATAATTGCCTTTATATTAGTGAAGCCCCTAGTTACCCACAGTACGAATCCTAAATTTCTGTAGGCATTCTTACAGATTTTGGTTATATGCTCACGAAATTCTAGTTTAGAGGAGGAATTAACCCCTAGATCTTTGACTTCTGAGACTTTCATTATTGGTACCCCATTAATTTGGTATTGGTACGTCACTGGAAATAGTACACGGCTGAAAGTCATAGTTATGCACTTCATGATGTTAAATTGTAAATTATTATGTTTGCTCCAGGTTACCACCCTATCTATATCTTGTTGTAACTTTTGGCAATCCTCTCTGTTCCTAACACCAAGATACAGTTTCAGATCATCTGCAAATAGAGTGCAATGAGCATCTTTGACAACCGTCGGAAGGTCATTTATCATCAATATGAATTGCAATGGACCGAGATTGCTGCCCTGACTTAATCCGGACCTAGTTAAATAGTTTTTTGACCTACACCCCGCATATTCTACATACTGCTGTCTGTCCCTCATATAACTAATAATAAGCGACAGTAGCCTAATGGCAGGGCGCGGACCGCGAACTTAAGAAGGTCGTGGTCGTGGACGTGGACTGCTGGCGTGAACCACTCATAACACAAGCAATTTAAGCGTACCACGAGTGGCTAAGGGGAATATTAGTAATGTTTGTAGCATTGTTAATATTCTTTAAAAAAAAAACTAGCAAAAATGTTAGTAAATGGGGAGTAAATCCTACACCAGCAAGTTTTGTAAGCAGTATGTCATTATCCACTAGGTCAAAAGCTTTTTTGTAGTCAAAGAAAGCTACATCTACCTGTCCTCCAGCATCCACTTCAGGTACAATATAATTCATATAATTAATTAGGTTGCTGGTGGTGCTCCTGTCGGGTCTAAAACCGTGTTGCTCATCTGAAAGCTGTACATTAACCTACAAGAGGATGCTCTTGTGTACTGCAGCCTCCAGTACTTTAGCTGGTGTCGAATGCACAGCAACCGGCCTGTATTGGTCCACATTTGATGCTGACTTTCCTTTGGGTACTGGGATGACTTTAGTTGTTTTCCATCTTTTTGGAAACACGATCTCCGACTGATTAGATGTAGAGAAATGGCCTACAAAGTACTAGTCAGCAGTCTTTGAAAATGTAGGGCGGTACACCATCGGGTACCGTTGACTTTTTTGGCTTGAGTTTTTGGAGAGCCTAAAGTACTTCATGAAGATTTAGTTGTTCTAAGTGTACCCTAGCCACTCCATTCTCACCACCAGCCTGTTTCACTGCCGCCTCCACGTCCAGCTTAGGCATCTTAGGTCTAAATACCGAATAAAAATACTGTGCAAACTCAGTGTTCCAGACACGGGTCACGGTATAGACACATGTCTGGAATTGGTTTATTTGAGTAACTACTACGCCAGGGGTTCTTAGTTTGAATGTGAGTTTTTAAGTGACAGTTGGAGCCAAAATTTGTGCCACAACACAAATAGTTCGTTTTCGGGTCTCCTTGTGTTCCTCAAGTATCTGTTCATCCTTGCTTACCTTTTACTGTTGCATTAGGCATGGGTAGATTTGAACTAATGAATGCAACTATGTTGCGCACACACTCGTAAAGCAACGTTTAGAACTCGCCGAATATCGTGCAGTTATTTGTAGACGAGTACGACGCGTTTACATATTCGAATGTATTCATTTAACGTCGATCTTTTAAGCACGGATGACGTGCATCTTGTTACTACAACTTTGCGTCTACTTAACTTTTATAGACAAAAATATTTTAAATAAAAAAAGAAGATCGTGGATAACCGTTTCAACTGTAGCAGAAACGGTTAATTAAATTATTTCTACTTAATCTAAATAATGTAATGCAATGTAGTTTCGCTCTTATGATATTCTTAATTTGAGCTGAACCGATCACCTACTTTTACACAGAGGGATTACAGAAAATGATAATGGATAATTATTGTTCAAGGGTTAACTGAATAATGATGTGTATGTAAACACTGATACGTCACACAAACAATCCTTTGATTCCCGCTAAAAAACCGATATCGAGTGGGGAACATGTTCGTACACGTCTGTGCTCGGTGGGTATCTAAACTTTGCATAACAATATCACATCAACTATACAGTTGCTAACAGTATTGAAAAGTTTTAACGTGCCTTATACAATTCGGGTAGATTTTAGAAAGAGAAATTACGCAAAACTCATACTTACAAAGCCAGCTCGTATTGAATGTGTGAGTCCTGATAAATAATGTAAGATATGCAATGAGCCATCAATGCACGCAGTTAGCAGCCGTTGATTACAACGCGATCGACGAGCTACACGCACTAGCGCCGGCAATGATACACGAACTGAACTCCCACGCAGTGAAGCCAGGTGAGTTACCCTCGCTTCCAGCTGTGAGAGGTCAAACCGTTGCCATTCTAAAGTTACTCCGTTCTGTAATGGTACAATAAGAAATTAAGGTGTTTTGATTATACAATTTTTGTTAATCTATTAACATCAAACATATAATAAAGAAATTTTTACGAGTTGTAGATCATTTTTGACGGCTCTATGGCGCAGTGGCTTAGCAATGAGTTACAGCAATAAGGGCCGCGGCTTCGAATCCCGCACGGAACAAGTATTAGTATGACCTACAAGTAATTGTTCCGGGTCTGGATGTTTGTCCTTGTGAAATTTATGTTTGTAAACTATACAAGAGATACCATGATACAGGAGAAAATTTTAGTGTGGATGTAACGTTTTTTTTTAATTTTTTTAATATACCGCACATTCCAAAGGCTAAACTTAAATGTCATAAAATCTTTAATAAAACCCACAAGTGTAAACAACCAAAATGTTTCTTCACCCTTTTCAATTCAATTTAGATTACAGGTATGTGTTTAAAATTTTTAATAACTAAGTTATTTTGGCATAAATTAATCACACAATATTCAGAATTAGATTCAGATCAAATAGATAAATATAAAATCGTATCGTACTCTACCTTGTGACCAGCAGTTTGTTCAACAATATGCACAGCATTATCATTCCTTTGTGACAGTTCTGCACATAACACTTCATTCTCCAAGTGGTGAAAGGCTATCAAATTTACTTGCTGCCTAAAAGTTAAATAAATCTGCTATAAATTGCATTCTTATTACTATTGAATTAGTTATTTACCAATAAAACATACACTATATATATCTAAGAGAGCATTCTGTGGACTGTACACAAGAAGCATGAAGAAACAGCAGTATGGTCTCTCAAAAAGCTTGGGTAACTTGAGTAATATTAGATTCTTGCCCACACGCAAAGTACGCGCTTAGACTTGGAGTTGTAAAAATTAGCCAAGTCAGGCCTACTTATAAATTGCATTAGTTTATAAGCCTTAATATATTAATGTTTTTTTTTCTCTTGTGTATTACCGTCTTAATTTAAGTACATTGTAATACTGCGTACTTACTTAACTTAACATGCAATGTAGTATGAAAGTAGCATTTTATTAGTGTGGACGCATTGCGCGCACGTACCGAACATGCACCTACTCGCATCTGTTTCCGGCGTGCGTGTAAACATAGCATCAATCTGCTGAAAACACGCGAAGAGAATTGAATGTGATGATCATTTGCCGACTCTGAGGTAGAAGTCTTAAAGAAACGCTCAATACCTCGACGTTGGTGGCGTACAGAGTTCAACAGACAGAGAGCTGGCGTAGAATTAATGAGATTAAAGCACGCGTTCAGTTCGTGTTTGCGTCTCAACACAAACCGTTCACACTTGCACTCCGAGCATACTGCGCGCCCCTTTGTGTTGGTTGGAAAAACTGACAAATCACGCTCGTCTTGTAATGCACGGTTCGCGCGCGCAAGATGTCCAGACTATAAAAATATGTTACAGAGTGTGTTAAATTTCAAGGAATAGAATACAATACTTTTTATTTTATATATTACATGTAATTCTTATTGAAAGTAATTATTTACATTACCACGTGTTCGGTAAAAACTTCTGTCCTGGGAAGAACCAGCAAGAAACCCAGCGGGATTTTTTAAAATAAATTTTATAATGTGAATGGTTACAAAATATTACATAATACATTACACTAAGATGGATGGCAAATTCTTTCATTTCATGTTACGTTACGTAAGTCTGTACTCAGCATAATGCTGTGTCACGTGCACACAAAACTCTAGATTAAACCTACTATAATAATATAATTATGTGTGCACTACTGATTTCATATTAGTAAGTAAATAAATAAAGTAATATTACCCATGTATATGATACAAATGTAGATTGGCAAGGTCCTCTAACACAGGACTCCAGGGAGCCGGTTCAGCATTAGCGGCACTCCACAGAAGAACTTTGACACCAGTGCTATCTGCACACCATGATACTCGTCTTTCTGCTCTCCGTGCACCACCAAGCTCTAGACTCTGTCAGAAAAACATAAAAAATATGTTGTATTAAAAAATTACAACACTAGTTCAAAGTAACAAGCAAATCATTTTCTATATAATAAACCATTTTATTTACTATGTGGTGTGATTTTCTTGTGACTTGGTAAATAAAGTGCTCATGGTCTGCCATGTTACTTACTACATTCAAATACCAGCATATAATAAGACCCAGGTTAGCCGATTATAACTGACGTCAATATAAATAAAATAAGAACATCATCAATGTAGTCAAAGTCGATTAAATATGCATTATTAAGAATAACTCAAAAACGTTATACGTGGTAGTGCCATGCCGCAGTTATATTAGTAGTATAGATGTAGCGTGAATGGGTCGCCTCGACCGGGGAAGGACCACACTCTCACAGAATACCAGCGTCAAATAGTAGCTTAATGCTGCTGTGTTCCTTAGGGTGAGTGTAGAGAACCGGAGACCCTTTTTACTGGAAACAAGGCATTCCATCTTAGTCGATTACATTTATATATATATATATATATATATATATATATATATATATATATTTTATATATATATATATATATATATAACATAAACGCCGTCCACTACCATCTCGAGACGGCGACGCCGGCTCTGCTCTTTCTGACCGAGACGCAGGTGTCCTCTCCGGCTGATGCTTCGTATCTCTCCTACCCGGGGTACAAACTGGAACACTCCTTTATGTCTCGTACTGGAGTTTGTGTATATGTCAGAGAGGACATCTGTTCTCGACGCCTTGGCAGTCTTGAAGGTTTGGACCTATCCATCCTTTTTCTACGCGCAGACAGCGAAGACCATCGGCGCGTCTACGTGTGCCTCTATAGGTCCCATAGCGGTAATGCCGAAACAGACCGACTTTTCGACCACGTCCAAATGGCTACAGATCCGTTGCTACAGCAGATCCACTCCGCAGAGATCGTGATCTTCGGAAATTTTAATGCCCACCACGCCGAATGACTTGGTTCACGTTTAACCGATGATGCTGGGAGATCTGTTCATGATTTTGCCTTGGCATATGGCCTGACACAACTAGTTACTTCGCCTACGCGCATTCCAGATGTGGAGGATCATGTACATTTTCTCATATTCATTTTTGGAAGGAAATAACGGTAAAGAATCTAAATTCGAATAACAATTAAGTATGACTTCTGACCGTGTTATAGTTGCATTAATCTAATAACCGCTGGTTCGAATCCCACACAGAAAGAGTGTTATACAAAAATACATTTTTACCAGTATTTTTGTAGATATTAAAAATATAGTCTAGGTAGTAATATTAGAATGATCTATTCCAATCTAATAATTTATTCTATTAATTGCTATTTCGAATCCCACACAGAACTATTGTTACACACACAGTACAGTCGAAGTTGGCGTGTAAGTGCGGCATAAGAGAATTCATCATCACATTTAATCCCGTGGGTTTAGTAAGGCGACTTTGGGTTTGGTTTTCGACAGATAGAGCGGGGCGTAACCACGCGAGTTGTAGCCACGCGCCTGGCGCCACGGCGTTCGCTGCACCCGCGCTTGCCACCGCCACGCTCGGCTTAGAGGCTTCGGATTGTAAACCGACTGGAAGAACCGAGTGTACTCATTGGCACATTCTTGTTCTGATAGTACCAGTCCGTCATTGATTAACTTCCGATGATTCGAATCACCTTTTACGTAAGGTGACTCCATGTCCCGTGCCCCTTTTAAATCCTTATATGGTAATTTTTGCAGCCTTTTACTATGCAACTAGGTGTATTAATGACAAGGAAATACTCGCTCTTTCCTGCGTGCGGATCACTGTCGAGTGAGTCGTGATGTCTCAAACACTCATTATGGGGCAAGCGCCCTGGTGCCATTTATTGTTGGCCTGGTCTTAGCCAAACTAGCGTATTTAGTAATAAAAAAAAAATAAAAGAAAGTCAATGAATAGGCATGTCTCAACAAGTGATCAAAATTCATGTCAGGTGTATGGTGTAAGACCTTTGCCTGCTTTAATTGTTGAATCCTCACAACAACAATAACAACAAACAAATGTCAAACTCAACTAATACAAGTTTTAATACTTCGTATTCTGCGTCTTCCCTTACATATTATAGGGACTCACAGGGACCCTATGAGAAGCACCAGGTTTCAAATAAAAAAAGGATCACAAAAATCAGTTCCCCTAAAAAAAGTTCTGAGGTAACAAATATAAAAAATACAGTTGAATTGAGAATTATTTTGAAGTCGGTTTAAAAAGCATGGTTGTGAAATGGATATTGCATGAATTACATGACCATTTTATTTGATTTAAATTTTACATTCACAAAAAAAACACATATTAGAAGTAAAAAAAAATTAACAGAAGTTTGACTGAGACATTGTCACATTGATGATTAAAATTTAGCATAGATAAATACAGATAAATGTAACAAGTTAAACATAATAATACAGTTAGGTGTTTAAATTCAAGGTTCAAAATTAAAATTTTCATCTAGTTTTATTATTATTATTACTTTGTTGGTTATAATATTATATGTATTACCAACAACGTAAGGTTGATGTTCAGTTTTGGAAGCTACATGGGATTTTTAAAATTATTGAATAGTGTAATAAACCTTCAAAAATGTGCAATAAATTATATCAAATTTTAATTTATTTACCATTTTTTCACATAAATGCCAAAAATCTTTGCTAAACTCCATATTTATAAAAGTATCACTAAAAAGGGTAAACAAATCCAAAATAAAAGTATCTACATATTAAGTACCTGAACATGTGGGTCTCTATCTGATAATCGACATGGGTGACTTGTACTGTGTATGCTTTTTCCAAAGGTAAACAATGTTGCTGTCCTTTCTGCATGTGTGAATAAAAGATGTGTCTTACAGAAAGCAACTGAAATACAAAATAAAACAGTGGTTGTTATATTATATTTATGAAATACTGCACATTGAAAAAATCCTTTTATAGATTTTATCGCTTTTAATTGAACTTTATGTTATTAAAACATTGGAAATTAAAATCAAGTAAATAAATGCGATAAAATCTAAAAGAGTAGTTTTATTCAATGTATAGTGTTCACATAAATATAAGAAATCATTTTTAATTCCTGACATTTTGGGTGCTTTGCAGCAGCCATGGTTACAGATAGAGACTAAGGTGTTGGGATATTCTCTGTTATAGTTAACTCTAGCTATCTTGAGCTTTTAATGATTAATTTTTGTTTGATCTGATCTATGCAGAATGAATTTACCAGTTTTGAAGTCTTGCAAGAGTAGGCTTGGGTTTGCATTTAACTTTATTGCACATGCAATTGTCAGAAATGAAAAATAACTACAATTAGTGCAATTAAAAATTTGAAAAATTAGTTTTATTCACAGTGGTTGTTATTATTCAAGAATGAAGTTGATATTTGGCAGAAATTTAAATAAATTTTATTTTGTCAAAAATATTGATAACAACAAAAATTCAAAAACATTGACATCTCGAAGTCTTGCAGTAGTGTTACTTTAGTTTATAATAACCTCAAGAATTACAATTGGTGGGAATACTCGTTGCAATTAAGCACTAGCAGTGTGTGACAGGCTATTTGTTGCAAATAGATTCAATCTCCGCAAGTTGAATTCACAGTGATCCGAATTGAGCATGTTAAATTATTATTACTCTTTGTGAATACACACTTGCTAAGAGAATTTGATTTGTGTGACAGGGTACTCGCTGCGAGTAACCGTTACACTCAACACGCCGCTCTGTACATTTTTGTATTAGAGAATAAAACCTTGTGAGAAAAAGTTTAAATCAAATTCTACTGATTGTAACATAAATGATTTTCGTAAAATAATTTATTAATTATTTATTATTAATAATTTATTATTAAACATCAACAGGCTATCAAAATTCTCATGTAGAACTTGCTGTGTGACAAGCAGGCAGCAAATTGTTGCTTCGAGTATTATTTGTGGCGAATACACTCAAAGCGAGTATTTACTATGACTAGATTAAATCAAGGTAGACAAATAGTTACAGTTTCTGTACTTACCTCCTGTTACAGTTTGTCCTGAAAGTTTTCCTACACAATATCTATCAAACAGTACTTGAGTTACATCCAAAGAAATGGGTTTTAGGGAGACATAAGCAATGAGACCCGAAGAAAATACTAATGTAGCTGATATGTCATTCACCCATTCACAAGCTACGATACTACGATCCCGTAGTGTTGTCTCTAATTGTCTAAGTTGACTAGATTTTGGTGCACGCCAGTAACCGCCGCGGCGCTCACAGTAATTCCTTTTACCTGCATCATATACAGTCTCTTCTAACCGTTTCTTTATTTCATACCTTAAAGAAATGACGAATTAGTAACTGGTAACAACTCAAAGTAGTTTTCACAAAAAAAAACTTACTTAAAACTTTTTAAGTCTCCACTTTTAAGGTACAAAGACTCGTCATAAGTTATAAACTTAACGTCGTAACTAAACATCATTAGGTTTAACAAAAAAAATATATTTTCATTTTGGTTATGTATATTATATTAGCATTAGAATATTTAATAATTGCATGTTTGTACATGCAAGGGAAGACGCAGAATACAAAGTACTAAACCATATTAAAACTTGTATAAGTTGAGTTTGACATTGAGATATGTTTGTTGTTATTGCAACAGTTAAAGCAGGCAAAGGTTGACACCATACACCTGACATGAATTTTGATCACTTGTTGAGACATGCCTATTCATTGCCTTATCCATATCCATACATATAATATTATATAAATGAAAAAGTGTGTTTGTTTGTTTGTCCTTCTTTCACGTCGAAACATAGCGTCGGCATGGCATGATTTTTTGAATGGTGATAGTTCGGTGGCTGTAGAGTGACATAGGCTACTTTTTCCGTGGAAAAACATCTCATTCCCGTGGGAAAATCGAATATGTTGCACAAGTTTGTCCTTCTTTCACGTCGCAACAGAGCGTCGGCATGGCATGATTTTTTGTATAGGGATAGTTCGGTGGCTGTAGAGTGATATAGGCTATTTTTCAGCGGAAAAACATATCATTCCCGTGAGAAAATCGAATATGTTGCATAATTAAATTCAGCTAGGTGGCGCCACCGTGAAGACGAACGACGGTACGATGGACGAACACAGAAGGTCAGAATATCTGGATTATTATGTCATCATCTTCATCATCATCATTACAGCCCTTCACAAGTCCACTGCTGAACATAGGCCTCCCACAAGCAACGCCACAAAGCACGGTCCTGAGCCACCTGCATCCATCGACTTCCTGCATGTCTTACCAGGTCGTCACTCCATCTAGTGGGGGGTCGCCCTACCCTACGCCTACCGGTACGAGGCTGCCACTCGAGAACCTTTTATTATGTCTTTTTACCAAAATTAAGATAAAAATATATGGATCTGTATTTTTCCACGCAGGACCGGGAAGAGAGCGATAAAAAACATAAAATTCACTAGCTGATTTTCTTCAAAGTTTTGGTGCATTGTAATTCACAGAATAGGCGATAACCTCGCAGACGATATTAAGTAATCCGTTGATGCTCTGCCTACCCCGCAAGGGTTACAGGCGTGATTATAAGTATGGATCAGAAATACTATCACCACCTGTCACGCTTTCACCATTAACTATTACTTAACTGTGGTAGAAACAGTTCTTAGTAAGCCTTAGTAATATTTATTGAACGGAAATGAATACAGTTCTTATATGTGGTTATGAATGAATCGGTATTACAATAAGATAACTTGTGCAAAATTATAAGAAAAATATTTTTTTAGAGTTCTTATTAACTAGCGTATACATAGTTTAAATTAATTCCGCTAGATGTCGTTACTAGGTTTTTAAAAAGCGGTAACGAAATGTTTCCTGACATGTACTTAACTCCCGCCGTTGAGCCGCGTGTCAACTTATAGTGCATACGGTACCTATACGCTTAAATTGTTTCTATTTCGTAGCTTATTCGACTACCTGCTTTCGATTTCGGTTGTTTGTTACTTGCTTTGTGATTTGGTTAAGGTTGAATGGATTTATATTGGCTTTCATTTTCGGATTTGTGTATTTTCTTGGATCGGTTTTGTTGATTTGGTTGGTATTCCTTTATACATATTTAGACTCTGGCTTTGATTTTGGATTTTGTTTATTTAGAATCGTGAATTGGTTTTCGTTGTTTTAGGTTGTTTAACAATATTTCAAAGGAATATTAATAGTATAGATAGTGTATACGGTACCTATACACTTACTTCTTTTTTCGTTAGTTATATTTATATTGACTACTGCTTTCGATTTCGGTTTTCTGCGATTTGTTTTGTGATTTGGTTTAAGTTGATTCGATTTTTTTGGCTATCGTTTTCGGATTCATGTTGTGTCTTGAATTGGTGTTGTTGTTTTGATTTTAAAAAAATATTTAAAAGGAATATTTATTCCTTTTAAATATTTTGGATATGCTTTAAAAATATTTAAAAGGAAATTTAATTCCTTTTAGGTATTTTAACGTTTTTTTTATAAATAGGTATTTTGTTACTTCATAATGCCTCGCAAACGTAAGTCCAGCCTTTCAAGAGTATCTTCTCAAAGACAAGCGAAAGGATTAGCTCGATCGCTAGAATCTTTAGAAGATGCTGAACTAAGAAGGCAAGAACAAGCAGAGCGTCAGGCTGCATTTAGAGCATCTGAGACACCTTCTCAACGCCAGCAAAGGCGTCTTGAACAGACAGATGTCAGGCTGCTTTAAGAGCTTCCGAAACACCTTCTCAAAGTCAGGAAAGGCGTCTTGAACAGGCAGAGCGTCAAGCTATTTTAAGAGCTTCTGAAACACCTTCTCAAAGTCAGCGAAGGCATCTTGAACAGGCGGAGTGTCAAGCTACTTTAAGAGCTACTGAATCACCTGCTCAAAGTCAGCAAAGGCGTCTTGAACAGGCGGAGCGTCAAGCTACTTTAAAAGCTACAGAAACACCTGATCAAAGTCAGCAAAGGCGTCTTGAACAGGCGGAGCGTCAAGCTACTTTAAGAGCTACAGAAACACCTGATCAAAATCAGCAAAGGCGTCTAGAACAGGCAGAGTGTCAATCTACTTTAAGAGCTACTGAAACACCTGCTCAAGGTCAGCAAAGGCTATTCGAACAAGCGGAACGTCAGGCCACCTTAAGAGCCGCGGAAACACCTGATGAAACTCAACACAAACTCATTGAGCAAGCTGAACGTCAATCTACTATAAGGGCATCTGAAACACCATAACAGACACAGGCGCGCAGAGATGCAAATGCACAGCTCCAAGCTGAACGGCGACAAAATTTTCAAAGAAACAATTGGTCGATTTTTAATGACGCAGCATTCAATTATGATCCGTTGATTGATTATCATGATGATAATCACAGGTTAGTTGTTATCGGACTGATGGACAAGGCGTGTCGATTTTGCAGCGCTTTAAAATGGAAAGATGAGACCGCAGGAATGTGTTGTTCCAATGGCAAAGTGTCTCTCCCGTTACTTGGGGAACCAGAAGAACCTTTGAAAACTCTCTTTTTAACTGATGCTAATGAGTCACGGCGCTTTTTAAACAGGATCCGGAAATATAACTCATGCTTTCAAATGACGTCCTTCGGAGTTGACCGGGAAATGATAATGCCGGGATTTTCGCTTACATTTACGGTGCAAGGGCAAATTTATCATAGAATAGGTTTACTTTTTCCAGCTGAAAACGAACATGAGGTAGACCGTCGCTGCCAATTTATCCAGGGAGTTGAGAGAGACACATTGTTCAAATTCAAAGATTCTTGCATGTACGTAACACTTTAGTCAAAACATTTAAAACTGCTTTAGAAAACTTACCTGAAGAGGATTATAAAGTCGTCATTCACGCAGATCGGACCCCTCGAGGAGAGCATGAAAGGCGCTACAATGCACCTTTGATAAACGAAATAACAGCCGTAATTAGTGGTGATCAGTTTTCTTCACGAGACATTGTCTGTGATGATACATAGCAACGGGTAGCCGATACACACAAGTTTTATGACGCTCTGCAATACCCATTGATTTATTGCAAAGGACAAGAGGGTTATCATTTTCAAATTCCACTCATTAACCCGGTCACAAAGGAGCCTACTCCGAACAAAAAAGTATCATGTATGGATTTTTATGCGTATCATATGATGTTGCTAGAAAATGATTTTAAACTCTTAGCCCGGTGTAGACAATTATTTAATCAATTTTTGGTAGACATGTATGTGAAGGTAGAAAGTGAACGTCTCCGTTATATATCTTTAAATCAAAAAAAGCTGCGCGTTGAGAATATTATATATTTACAAGATGCAGTTTCTAGCGTCGCCAATGTAAACCCCAGAGTTTTAGGTAAAATGGTAATTCTGCCCTCACCATTCGTTAACAGTCCCCGCTACCTACATGAGTACACACAACACTATGTACGAACTTACGGAAGACCTGATCTTTTTGTTACTTTTACTTGCAATCCCACATGGTAAGAAATAACCGATGAGCTAATGCCCGGCCAAAAAAGTACAGACAGACACGATTTAGTTGCTAGAGTATTTAGACTAAAAGTACAAAAATTGAGGTATGTAATTAACAAAGGGAAAATTTTAGGAGAGGTGCAGTGCTTAATGTATTCAATTGAATGGCAAAAAAGAGGATTACCGCATGCCCACATTCTAATATGGCTTAAAGAGAAGTTGCGGCCCAGCCAAATAGACGACATAATAAGCGCCGAGTTTCCGGATCCTGAACAAGATAAAGAATTGTATGATACCATCGTCCGAAATATGATTCACGGTCCATGTGGAGCACGAAATTCAATATCACCATGTATGAAAGAAGGAAATTGTACAAAGAAATTCCCTAAACAGCTATTAAAATAAATAGTGCACAGTGATAATGGTTACCCTTTATACAGATGCAGAGCTCCCGAAGATGATGGCAGGAAAGTTACAATTTATAAGCGACAGTAGCCTAATGGCAGGGCGCGGACCACGAACTTAAAAGGTCGTGGGTTCGAATCCGCCATTCGACTACTGGCGTGAACCACTCGTAACACAAGCAATTTAACCTTACCACGAGTGGTTAAGGGGAATATTAGTAATGTTTATAGCATTGTTAATAGTCTTTAAAAAAAATCTCGCTCTGGAGCGAAACCTTAGATAACAGCTGGATTGTCCCGTATTCGCCCATTCTATGTAAAATGTTTAATGCCCACATTAATGTAGAAGCATGTAGCTCTGTCCGCGCAATCAAGTATATCTGTAAGTACATAAATAATGCGACCAAGCAATATTTAATCTCAGGAGTGAAGGTGAGGCAAATCCCGTTAATGAAGTACAGACCTTTCAAGCAGGGCGTTAAGTCAGCAGTAACGAGGCAGCGTGGCGTCTCCTTGGCTTCCCTTTACACGAAAGGCACCCAACAGTTACTCACCTTGCTGTGCACTTAGAAAATGGAGAGCGTGTATATTTCACCGAAAG